GATTTAGATTTTAAGAGGTACCCAGTTTGCGCAGGTGCCATTAGATGCCCGCCAGCCCCCTGAAAGCCGCCAGTTCCATCTCCCATAGTCACCGGCCTGTAAATGCAACTTCATGATTGAATTGTTCAAGCTGAATTCCTGTGTTTTCCCTTTTCATTTTGTGGGCAAGAGATCCTAGTGGCTTTCGTCCTGTTAGCAGAAATTCATGGCAGAAAATTGGTAAATAATTCATTTTGGTTTTCCTCCTGCTTCGAAAAAGAGAACTCAGCAGGGCAGAGATAGGCATTTTTGAAATTTTAGCAGAAATAAACAAGATGATTAGTTTAAAATGTAATTCATAGCCAATGAGTTAATAGAAAGCCTTGAGTTGCTGATTACAGCTAGCTCAACTAGTCCCCTAAAATGTAATTAGCTTTTGGTGTGATTCCAAGTGGCTTCTTAATGCTTAAATTTTCAGAAATTTTCCAGTGCTGTTTCAGTATTTCAAATACTTTTGAAAGAGTTTAGTAGCAACATTGATCTGAATTCATATGCACTAAGGTAGGTGATGTCTCTTGAGTTTCTGGAGACAATACATATGTCTTAAAAGGGGTAAGTTAGGGGCGCCTGGGTCGTCAATGGGTTAAGCCTCTGCCTTCAGCTCAGGTCATGATCCCAGGGTCCTGGGATCGAGCTCTGAATCGGGCTCTCTGCTCATCAGGGAGCCTGCTTCCTCCTCTCTCTCTCTCTGCCTGCCTCACTGCCTACTTGTGATCTCGGTCTGTCAAATAAATAAATAAAATCTTCAAAAAAAAAAAAAAAAAGCCAGGGGTGGGGGTAAGTTAATGTTGACTTTCCTAGTGTTATAGGAAGGTAAGTTGCTTTTAGTTCTGTGGTTTACTTTAGTGTTTTAATATATTTGGGTTATAGCCTGTTTAAAAAGTCATAATGAACTTTTTTTTTTTTAAATCTAAATAACTACACTGAGATGTAACTGAAAAAATATTATTTTTTTTTTCTTTTTGCCAATGCAATATTGCAAGTCTAGAAAATATAAGAAACTATGGGGTGCCTCGGTGGCCCAGTTGGTTAAGTGGCTGCCTTTAGCTCAGGTCATGATCCCAGCGTCCTGGTATCGAGTCCCACATTAGGCTCCCTGCTTGGCGGGGAGCCTGCTTCTTCTTCTGCCTGTTGTTCCCCCTGCTTGTGTGCATGCTCGCTCTCTCTGCCAAATAAATAAATAAAATCTTAAAAAAAAAAAGAAAAAGAAAAAGAAAGAAAATATAAGAAACTAGGGTGCTGGCTGACTCGGTTGGAAGAGCAAGCAACTCTTGATCTCTGGGTCGTGAGTTTGAGCCCCATGTTGGGTGTGAAAATCACTTACATAAATTAAAAAAAAAATACAAGAAATGGAGGACTACTTGCAGGGCAAGGCCCAAATGTGAACTTAGCAATTAAAATTTCCACATTAGTGGGGTGCCTAGGTGGCCCAGTTGGTTAAGCATCCCAATCTTGATCTCAGCTCAGACCTTCATCTCAGGGTGTTGAGTTTTAACCCTGCATTTAAAAAAAAAAAAGAATCCACATTAGCACTTGCAGCTATTCCATCCTCAAGCTGCCTTTAGACATAAGGAGGTATTTCTGTTGCCTAGTTAAGAAAAAATAGTTTTTATTATGGATAATAAATACATACAGAAGTAGAGCAGATGGCATAAAGAACCTCTACAGACCCATTACCCAGTTTCAACAATCGTAGCTCATGACCGATTTTGTTTCGTGCATACCCCTACCCACTTGTGCACCCTTACTCCCAGTCCATCATTCTAAAATAAATCTCAGATTAACATTTCATATACATATATTTTAGTATGCTTCTGAAAGATAAAGTTCCTTAAAAAGTATAACCACAATACCATTATCACACTTTAAAAATTAGCAATGATTCTCCAGGATCCTATATCCAATCAATGTTTCAATTTTTCCTGCTCATAAGTGGTGATTTTTCATAATGGATTGTTTGAATTAGCACCTAAACAATATCTGCACTTTAATATGTCTCTTAGGTCTCATCTGACTTACAGGTGCCCTCTTCTTCTCTCCTGCCCCCCTGCCCCTGTTACCCCTCTTACAGTGTTTTTATGGAACAACCAGACATCATTTGTTCTGTGGAATGGCAACATTCTGGATTTGTCACATTGCATTCCTGTGGTGTCTTGTAGCATGTTCTGGGTTTTTCTGTATTTGATGTAAACTGGTGATAAAGGGCTTGATGAGATTCAAGTTTGATTTTCTTTCTTTTTTTTTCGGGGAACAAGACTACTTCATAGGTGGTGACGTCTCTCTCCAGCAGGAGGACATCTGGCTATTAGTCTCCCTTTCTGTGATGTTAAAATTGGTTAGTCAGATCTAGGCATCTGATTTAGCTTGATCCATCCATTGTGAAGTACCCTATTAGCTTTCACTTAATAATTTTAGCAGCCATTTATAATCATTGCTGGTAACTAGTTTATCAAGAAGGAGAGATACCATTTTTAAAAAGTAATTTTTAAGACCTGGAGAGTAACTGAATGACATTGTGATTTTTCTTTTTGATGATTCCACCTTCCATAAAGTCAAGTCACAGAGCATCTTCCCTGAGCTAATAAGCAGATCACGTCAGCTGAGAAGCTCTGTGAAAGAACAAAGCCTACAGTGTCCCAGTTGTCTTCCCATGGAGTTGGCATTCTCTCATGAGACAATTTCTCAGTCCCAAGGCTAAAAGGAATGAGGCAGTGTTTTGGTTTTGATTTTTGTTAAATAATAAATCTTGGACTTCATTAAGCTTTCACTGTGTATCCTACAATTTATACATTAACATTGTATTAAATGTACCAACAGAGACGAAAAGAGTTGCAAAACACCACTGAAGTATTCCCACTCCTGGGGTGCCTTGGTGGCTCAGTCAGTTAAGTGTCCAACTCTTGGTTTCGGCTCAGATCATAATCTCAGGGTCATGACATCAAGCCCCACATCAGGCTCCATGCTCAGCTCGGAGTCTGCTTGAGATTCTCTCTTCCTCTCACTCTGCCCTTCTCACTTGTTTTCTGTTTCTCTATCAAATAAATAATAAATAAATCTTTTGAAAAAAGAAGAAGAAGAAATATCCCTATTACTTCAACCCATTTCTCTGTTGGGGTTTAAGAGACAGGATACTAAGTAATCCCCATCCCTAAGTCTCACCTGGCTGTCACTGGTGATATGTGACTGCCAACCTTGGAGAGAAAGGAGAAAAGGAAAGATCAGTTGGGAAGGCCTAGGAAGGGTGTCCCCAACCAATAGCTACTTGTTGGGAGAAATTCAAGGGAAAATATTAGAAGCTAACTTAGAAATGATTTGATTTACTCCCTTTGCCAATCTAAGAATCCCTCCCTAAGAATCTGCCAACTGCTAAACTTTCCTTCCTACTCAGTTCTATTATGGCACTCATCTCATTCTGCTTCTTTAATTTTGTATATCTTGTTTTCAATATTGGGTTATGCATTTTTTTGAGGACAAGGAATTTATCTAATTATTCTATTTAATCCCATATAGGGTGTCAAACAGAAACACAGCTGGACATCCGTTGAAACAGTGAAAATAGATTTCATTCAGTAGCTACTGGCAGCAGGGGAGAGAGCTGAGCGCCGTTCTGATTTGCGCAGAAATGGTTGGGCATTTTAAAGGGAGAGTGGGGGTAGCACTGGGAGAGAGGCCCTGTCCTTCTTGATGAGTGCATTTTTAAAGAAATGGCTCTCAGGTCCTTGAGAAAGATTTGTAAGTCATGGGAGATTCCTGTTCACAGTTGTCTGCCCTTTATAAAAAATGCTGTAGGATAGGGAAGTCAGAGGCCCTTTGTCCGGCACTGGCTAGAACCAACAGTCAGTTCTCCTGGCAGCATTGCACTTTCCCAGGCAAGGATTCTTTTTTTTTTTTTTTTTTTTAATTTTATTTATTTATTTGACAGACAGAGATCACAAGTAGACAGAGAGCGGGAAGCAGGCTCCCTACTAAGCAGAGAGCCCAATGTGGGACTCGATTCCAGGACCCTGCGATCATGATCTGAGCTGAAGGCAGAGGCTTTAAAACCCACTGAGCCCCCAAGGCACCCCCGAGGCAAGGATTCTAATAGGGACTGGGGTCATCCTAGGGTTGCGCCTAACACTGCTAGAAGCCATGCTAGTGTCTCCTAGTGCACAGGTTTGGGTGAAGTTTGTTATGTGCTGAGAGTTCTGCTATTCTCAAGGGTCTAGACCACTACTTAATGATTTTGTCTGAACTGAACGCATTTAGATAAATTCAGTTTCCTCTGCCCTGAAGGAAACAGGGTCCGTTGGAATGCCTTTCACCTTCCCTTGGTGGCTAAACAGAGCCAGGAAACAGGAGCATCACCTGCGTTCATTATCTCCCTTCCCTAGGTCTCTGCTCTCCTTATAGGATGATAGCTGTCCTAATTCTCTTGAAGGGTAGCCCATTTACTTGTGACTAAGAGACTTCATTTCCCTACCACAGATGCTCTAATTTTTTTTTAATAATTCAGTATGATCAATCTGCTATAAACACGTTGAAATATTTTACTGTCTATGGCAGTTTTCTGGGCACTATGAATAAAGCACAGTTTAAAGGTCTGTCTCTTACCCGGGGAATCGTACCTAGCAAAACAGCATTTCTGTCTATTTTCATCAAGCTTTTCTTTCTTGGCATTTATCTCAGGATGTAATGTATTTATCTGTATGATAATTTTTTAATATAGGTCATGGAAACTCTGTCTTTTCTTGTTCACCATTGAAAGGCAAGCACCTGCCACAGTGCCTATAACTGTTAAATATATTCCAGAATGATCTATTTAACAACAAAATAAATGGGTGGCTTTCCATCTTACCTTGTCTTTTTCAATAACACTGACAGTGTACAATGCTATTTAATTAAACCATGGTAATAAACAAATGTTTGTGAGGTATCCTGGACCTTGAGTTGTGTTTCAGTGATTCTTCTTCTCTTCATAGGTTCCTTACCTATTCCTACCTCTTGGCCTTCAACGTGTGGCTTCTGCTTGCACCCGTTACCCTGTGCTATGACTGGCAGGTCGGCAGTATTCCTCTGGTAGAGACCATATGGGACGTGCGGAACTTAGCCACCATCCTTCTGGCAGTTGTCATGACCTTACTGAGCCTTCATTGTTTAGCAGCCTTCAAGGTAATTTTCTTAAAATCCAACCGAACTCTCTGCATTTGAAGACAGATGCTCTGTACTTAGTGATGCCTTCTCCACCCATCACCCCTAGGTGGTCCGAGTCTAAATTGAATCTACTCTTTTGTCTGAAAAACAAAAAAATTAAATTTTTCCAGGTAAGTAATACATATTTTAAAGACCTTAGTGGAGTTAGCAGATCATGGCCACCTTAATTATCTTTTACTGTTCTACCAACCCTGTAGAGATTGGATCTGAAATTGAATGTTTGCAAACAAGAATTTTTTTCCTGCTCTAGTTGACTAATTTTTGCAGCAACTTGTTTGATTTCATGTAATGATAAATGAGATAATGATAATATATTCATAAGTGCTTAAAATATGGTTAAGATGCTACTTCCACTAATGAGTACCTGCCTGACTGGTTGGTTGGGTGAGTCTCACTTCACAAAAAAAGGAATGGTATAAAACTGGAAAAAAAATTATTAAATGCAGCGGTTTCAAGAATGACCAAAGACAGCAAAGAATTTGAAAATGTTTACTTCGGAAAAACTGTTCCTGCGTTGGAGAAGATGCTCCTTGCTTGAGGGGATTCCTATCCCCCCCAACACATACCCCTTCCCCCTCTCTGCCCAGCCTAGCTGGTGTGAAAAAAAACCCACAGGTTTACCAGTTAGAAGCTGATTTGGTTTGGGAGCTTAGGAGAGCAGCAAGAAACTTAAGGGGGAGCTTTTGGAAACGAGAGAGCTATGGAAAAGCTGAGATAATATGCTCCGCATGCATTCATGACTGGCTGCTGAACAACATGGCGCTCCCCAGGGAGCACAAGCAAAATTGAAAGCCTGGGGAGACTTACTGATTTCCTGCAAATTTGAAAGAATTTTTAACCCTTACACAGGTTGGGCAATAGAGAGGGGAAGCTTCATTGTCTTGAGTTGTCAGTGTATAACCGCTGTTGAAATCACTGGCTGATCAGAAAGCTGTGCAGACACAAGGGAGATTCCCCAGAGATTAAGGCAAAGCGGGTGAAAAAAACCTGAGCAAAATCTCAGCTCTCTACGGAGAAACAGATTTTTCATTTTGAGTCTAGGCAAGTTCATTATATATTAAAACAGTAAAAATAGCAAGTTCCAGAAGGACAGAATGAAATACAAGGTCACTATAATGTATGATACACAATGCTTAGTTTTTAATCAGATTGCTGGACATGTAAAGAAATGGGAGAGTATGACCAAAACTTGTGAGGGGATAGTAAGTAGAAAACAGAACAGAATTAAGAATCCAAAGGTAAGCTCTATTACATGGTCTATTGATTTTTGACAAAGTTACCATGATAATTCAATGGGGAAGGGATAGTCTTTTAAATAAAAGGTAACAAAATAATGAATATATATAAAGAAAAAAATGTGACATTTTACCCTTATGTCATACTGTACACTCAGAAATTAATTCTAAGTGGATCATAATCTTTAAATAAAAGAATTAAATAATATCAAAAATTCTAAAACGAAACAGGAGAAAAATCTTTGTGGACTTGGGTTAACTAAAGATTTCTTAGAACACATAAAGTTCAGTCTATAAAAGAAAAAGATGACAGATTGGACATCATTAGAATTAAAAATTTTGCTCATCACGGGCACCTGGGTGGCTCAGTTGGTTAAACATCAGACTGTTGATCTCAGCTCAGGTCTTGATCTCAGGGTTATGAATTCAAGCCACCCATAGGCTCCACTTAAAAAAAGGTGTTTGGGCTCAATTGGTTAAGTGTCTGCCTTCGGCTCAGGTCACCCTCTCAGGGTCCTAGGATCAAGTCCTGCATCTGGCTTCCTACTCAGTGGGGAGCCTGCTTCTCCCTCTGCCTGCTTGTGCTCTCTCTCTCTCTCTCTCTGTCAAATAAGTAAAATCTTTTAAAAATACATAATGTTAAATCACTCAAAAGGCAAATAACAGATTGGGAGAAAGTATTTGCGAAACGTGTATCTACAAAGGACTTGTATCTGGGACATTTAAAGAGCTCTTAAAACTCAGTAATGAAACAAATATCCATTAAAAATGGGCAAAAAGTTCAGACAGACACTTCACAGAAGAAGATATGCAAAGGTTAATAAACATGTAAGAAGATGCTTAACATCATTAGTTGTTTGGGGAATGCTAATTAAAGCCACAAAAAGTTATCACTGTATACCCACCAGAATGACTGTAATTAAAAAGATTCACAATACTAAGTGTTGGCCAGAATGTAGAGGAGCTGGGCCCCTCATATTGGTGAAGCTTGAAAAATAGCTCGGCCACTTTGGAAAAATTTGGCAGTTTCTTAAAAAGTTAAATGTGAAAATAAGCAAATTTCAGTACCTACCAACGGGCTATGGAAACTTACGTCCATACAGCATACAAGAGTCTTGTAAGTGTTCATAATAACTGAAAAATGGAAACAGTCCAGTAACCTCAAAATGTAAATGGATACACTTAATATTCTAAATTATTAATTATTCAGGAATGTAAAGGAACAAATAATTAACTTATACATAAAAAAGTATACATGAACCTCAGACACATCTTACAAAGTAAAAGAAGCCAGTTAGGGCACCTGACTGGCTGAGTAGGTAGACCAGATGACTATTGGTCTCAAAGTTCTAAGTTTGAGCCCAAGTTGAGTACTTGAAAATAAAACCAAACAAACCTCAGATATACAAAACTATATAATATGTGATTCCATTCATACAAAATATCTGTTATTATAATTCTAGAAAGAATTGCCCAGAAATGCCTAGAGAAGAAAATATGTGGGGATGGAGAGTGGGTATAAACAGACTTAAGGAAACTTTCTGGGATGTTGAATGCTTTTAAAATTTAATTATGGTGGTGGTTGCTAAATGACATCTGTTTACCAAAACTCACCAAAATATATACACAAAATGTGTGAATTCTATTACATGGGGGCTATATCTCAATAAAGCTATATTTTTTAAAAAAGATTAAAATGTTACAAAGAGATTAAAGGCTGAAATGAATACACAACTGGCATTTGAATATAAAATACTAGCATGTGATCCTGAAAATTTGATGAAAAAAATTTTTGAATTACTAAAACCTTTTTTGTTAAAGAAAAATTCATATAACATGCAATTAACCATTTTAAAGTATTCAGTTTAGTGATACTTAATGTATTCATAATATTGTGTAACTACCAGCTCTCTCTAATTTTAAAACCTTTTCATCATCTCGTTAAGTGACTACCAGTCACTCCCAATTCTCCCCTCCACATCACCTGGTGACTTCTAATCTGCTTTCTGTCTCAGTGGATTGGCCTATTCTGGATATACCATATAAAAAGAACTATACAGTATGTTACCTTTTGTGTTTGACTTCTTTCACTTTGCATAGTATTTTTGAAATTCATCCAAGCTGTAGCATGCATCAATACTTAGTTCTTTTTAATGGCTGAATAATAATCCATTGGATGTATACACCGTAATTTGTTTATCCAGTCTTCTGTTTGTGGACATTCATGTTGTTTCCACCTTTTGGTTATTATAAGCATTGCTGTATTACCACGTTTATGGACATATGTTTTCATTTCTCTTGGATATATACCTAAGCCAGAAATTGCTAGGTCTTATGGTAATTATGTACTTAACTTTTCGAGGAACTCCTTTTCATATTGGCTGCACCATTTAACATTCTCAGAGTATACAGTTGTTCTTATATATCCAGTCTTTGCTAGTACTTGTTATTTTCCATTATTTTGCTTAAAGTTATCATGGTAGGTGTGAAGAGCTCTATCTTTGTAGTTTTGATTTGAATTTCTTTAATGAACAGTGATGAACAGCTTTTTATGCGCTTATTGGCCATCTGTGTATCTTTTTTGGAGGAATGTATATTCTAGTCCTTTGCTCATTTTTCAGTTGGGTTGTCTTTTTTTGTTGTTGTTGGGTCGTAAGAGTTTGTTGTATATTTAGGATTTTAAATCCCCAACAGATATTTTCTTCCATTCTTTAAATTGCCTTTTCACATTGTTGATGATGTCCTTTAATGCACGCAAGTTTTTAATTCAATAAAGTGCCATCTCTTTTCTTTTTTGTTATTCTTCATTGCTTTTGTTATCAAAAACATAAGAATCCATTGCCAAAGCTGAGGTCATGAAGATTTATGACTCTGTTTTGTTCTAATAGTTTTATAGTTTAAGCTCTTATATTTGGGTCACTGATCCATTTTGAGTTATTTTTTGTCTATGTAGTGGCATGAGAGTCCAGGTTCATTTTTTGGCTGGTGGATATCCACTTGTGTCTGTACCATATTTCGAAGAAACTATTTTTCCTCCAAATACCTTATTTAAAGTAATCCACTTCTTAGTCATTTTGTAAATCAAGTTGGTAAGACAAGTATGATAATGAATAACCATCCTCAAAAAACTCTAGCATGCCAATTAGTTACATAAACTTGAGCTCAAATTTCACCTTCGTAGTACTGTCTACCATATGTACCCTTTTGTTTATTTATTTATTTATTTGATAGAACAAGAGGGCGAAAAGGCGGAGAGTGTGAATGGAAGGGAGAGGGATAAGCAGACTTTGGGCTGAGCTCCATCTCAGGACCCCGAGATCATGACCTGAACCAAAACCAAGAGTTGGACACCAACTGACTCAGCCACCCAGGCCCTCCCATATGTACCCTATTTAAAATGCAATCATTTGCCCTCCACTCTTTTCCCTTTTAACTTTTTAACTTTCCTTCACTCTACTTCCAATTTCTAAAATGCTGTGAACTTTGTTATTTTATGTAATATCTCTTTCCTCCAACTAGAATGTATGCCCCATGAGGACGGAGATTTTTTTCTGTTTTGTTCACTGCCATATTTCTGGCATCAAGGAGTTGCTGCATACAGTATATATCATCTAAATTTTATTGTTTGTTGCTGAGTGTATATCATCTAAATGACTAAAGGCATAAAAAGTTAGCAACTCTGTTCAACTAGTTATCGGTATGCAGAACCTTTTTTTTTTTTTT